TGAACTTTTTTTAAAACTAAACTTTTTTCGTGTGTCTACAAATATTAGATTTCTCAGTGTAAGTTGCATCTTCACATTTTTATTTTTAAAAAATTTTCTAAAGCAATTCAAAAGATTCTAATTATTGTATTCAATTTCCTTTGCAATTCCAGTTAAATAATTCGTCCAGCAAAGTCTCCATATACTTATTTGGTCCAAGATTCGCAACCTAGAAATCAATTATTATTTATTTAAATTTTTGGAAACTGTATCTGTAAATTTTGAACCAATATTACTTCTTCACGAGCTTGTTCATCAAGCTTTTTCAGTATGTTTCGGGTATAGGCGAAACTACCAAGTTTCTCCATTAATTGAATGCAATATTTTTTGACCTCAACATCCTTTGTCCTTTGCCTCAAAATATCTGTATACAGACAATTTTCTGTATTTTAATTTATTCCAAACTATGTGATGATTATTCTGAAGACTTACGTAAAACTTGACGATCATGTTTTTGATTATTTACTGCATGAATTATTGGGAAACTGAACTTTCCTTCTGTTAGATCTTCACAAAAACTTTTACTTTCGGAGTACTATAATATATAAAAAAAATTATATAATGAAGGATAATATTGTAAGAGATAGATTCATTTTCAGTACCTCTTTACTCGTCAAGTTGCAGTAGTCATCTCTCACTTGAAAGTATAAACCTAGAATTGCCGTTAATTGAGAAAAGTCCTTATCACTATTGCTGAATAATTTCATCAAGCGTATGGCCAGCATAAACAGTCCGCCAGTTTTACGAACGGTCATAAGTTTGTACCTAAGGAAAGACAAGAATAGGAATAATCAAAAAATAACCGAAGTATTGGAAAATCTCAATTATTCAGCAATCAAATATGTTTGCTGTCGTGTCTTTAGTTTCTTTTGCTTCTTTTATATGTGTATCAAGCTATATAAAATTTTGAAAATAACTCAAAAAACTATTATATGTGAATACGATAATTAAAATAAGTTTGTACTCAGATTCTGTGGGACATGTAAAATTATCGCGCCAATAAATCTCCATTCCTTGACCTCGATGAAGCTCCAGTAACTGTTCCGTATAGACTTTAGTTGCCTAAATACAACAAATTTTGGTCAAAGTAAATTTTTAATAAATGCACTAATAATATTTCGATTCTAGCTATACTAACGTCAGGATGATTTAGTTGTTGAACTTTTTCTAGCGCTAGGAAAAATACATAGTTTGCCGCATTTATTGTACTTGCAACACCATAAATAGAGTGAGCAACTGGTACACCTCTACGTAAGCAAGAGTTGTCTTCAATGTCATCGATTCTATAAATTATTACAGAAATTAGAAATATTGCGATGCGAATAATGGGAATTTCTTGATATCTCCAATGATTTTTTAATATACAAATTATATATTTGACTTCGGAATCAAATGCTTCTTAATTTTATTCTCTATTATAAAAAAAATAGTGTTAAATATAAAAAAAAAAAATGTATTGTATAAAAATTAATTATGGTTATACTCACAAAAGACTTGAATTGTGCAACATTTGAACAATTTCCCCAATTGCCTTAAGTTTTTCTATTGGAATATTCATCCAGTAATTGAATGCAATAGATAATTTTGATCGGATATTTTTACCAGGGAGCTCTTGAATATACGTATAAGGCTGAAGTAATATCTAGAAATAAATAATGAAATGAATTTCGAAGGGATAATAAATTTCTCTTTTTTTTTAATAATAAAAGAAAATTACAAACCGAATTTATAGCTTACTTGATCCTGTTCAGCTTGACTATTTTTTTTATTATAGTCTTCTAAAAGTCTTCCAACATCCTCCATCTTATATTTTATCGTTGATGTTAGAAAATAGATTCATACATATAAACACATACAATAAATAAAACTTTTTTAAATATATCTATAGAAAAACTGATTTTAAAAAGAATAATATTATAAATAAACGTATGAATATAAAGTAGCATGCCCCTTCTGTCAAATTATACATTATAACAAATTGAAGTTGTGCGCAAATTGTCAAAACTACCCTATTAATTTTAATAAAATAAATTTACATTTTTATTC